AATAATAATAATAATAATAATAGTAATAATAATAATAAAAGGAAAAGCTATAAAACAATAAAAGTTGTTATATAATATGTGAAAAAAATTTTTTTTTTTTTGCAGCAACATGTAGTCCAAACTGATGGAAGCAGTTCCGTTTCAGTGACCACCAAAAAGATCATCGAAATACCGGTAGTGAAAACCACTCAAACTTCGTCACCACGGTAACAACTTCAGATAACCCATCTTACTTTTTATGTTTCCTGCACTCAACGTTCTCAAATTTCGGATACAAAATCAAAAAGAAAAATAAATGAATAAATCCTGGTCAAATTTTTAGTGAAATATTTGTTAAGCAAAAATACGTTTGTTATCGATGACAAAACTGTGAGGGCAAAAAAAGCTCTTTTTTTTCTTTACGTTTTTCTCCTATTTTCAACTATCATCACAAAACTGTATTAAACTGTACAGAAAAGCATTTAATTTCTGTTTCCGTTATTTTGAAGCAGTAACTGTATTAATGTTTAAATTGTTCAAACTGGAATGAAAAATTTTAATAAAATTTTAAATTTTAAATGACTGTTTAAAAAAAATTTTTTTTTTTATTCAACTTTATCTTAGCACTCAACCTCTTTTTCTTCCAAAATAAAACTTTAACTCATTTTACTGTAATGCTCTCAGCAGTGTTTGTTTAGTTCAAAACACTGAAAAACAATCTATCAGCTTATGCAACATTTAAATTTTCAAAACATATTACAAGTCTAATAAAAATTTAGCATTACAACTTCTCCTTCATTTTAGTTTTTTCTAGTTCAAATTTGTTTAATTGTTTCCATAAATTTATCAAACCTATTTTATTAGACATGAATCCAAACATTTACAAAGAAGTTATGTGAAAAATGTCAACTCAACTAGCAATCCAAATCTTGTACATGGAACAGTTAATGTGCAAATTACTAAAGAAAATCTCAGCATCGATAAACAGCCAACAGTCTTACAACGGGTATACTTGTTAATAAAAATTTTCAAAAACAAAAAAATAGAAACATTCTTTTTTTATTCTTTATAAGTATTTTGTAGATGGCAAAAGTATGTTATAAATATCTTCTAATTTATAACTAAATAAGTCCTAACTACTCTGTCAACTTTTAGAGTCCTACAAGAGTTGGAGGGTCTGCAAAAATACACCTAACGGAACATCAAAATCATAGTCCTAGAAGACCAATAATTGTTAAACCGATTATGAGATCTGCACTAACCCACATTCCTGTTCGCCCAAACAACGACCGACAGATTAAACTTTCCAGGCAGCCAAAATCTCAGGTAACTGAATAATAACTTCTATTCTTTCTGTTTTCCAAGAAGTTTCTTTTTGTCAAATAAATTTTATAGTATATTTTACGTTTTTAGACAATTTTATATACTTACAAATATTTTAGCATAAAGAGTCTTGGAGAAACATCGGTCCTTTGGTAAGTTCTGTTGATTTCCCATACACTAGACGAATGTTCGCTGAATCTCTGGGCAATCGTTCAACGGTTATCCGGCCCGTAGCAAATAATAGAGCAAAAAATGTGATGAGCAACGTTAAAGTTAGCGGAGTGAAAACAAGTAGTGTAAACGAAACAATCCACAATGAGTTGACTCCATTCTCTTCACCCTCAAATCCTGAATCAAAAAATCTTGTTTCCAGTAAGTTTTGAACTTTCTAAGCTTTTCGTGCTGCTGCTTCCTCTAACATTAAACGAAAATTGAATAAAATTTGAAATATTTTTGCGAGCTTTTTTTTACAAGCTAATTTTTACATTACATGCTATTGAGCTGGAACTTTTACTTTCTAAGCAAGTGCTTGGCTGCGCTTTACTAAACCAGATAAAAAAAACTCTTTATCGGTTAAAGAAATTTTTTTTTTTTCATTTTTTTGGTATATGCGGTTTTTAAAGTGCATTTCGCTGGTTCGCTTTCGTGTTATTTGACCTTTGATGCTCAGCATTAAAATAAATATTTTATTCCTGCTTTTTACACAGTGCCTTTTTTTATCCCAAATGTTCGTTAGTAATGTGGCCTTATATAGAACCGGACCTATCCTAATAAAGAAAGAGCCAAAATTTCTTCGGCGGAAGTATAAGCAAACTTCTTAAGCATTCTTGATAAC